AATAATAAAAAAAATTAAAATTATAAAATAAAAAAAGTAAAATAATCAAAAAAAAATTTCATAAATTTCCCTACTCCGCCCCACTGTGACGCTGCATAAGTGTGACATCGTCTATGCATGCGCCGAACAGCGTCTTAAACTGCTGCCACTCGGCTTTATTGCAACGAAATTGCTGCATTACTTCACGTCGTCAGGCAGCTAACACAACTACAGGCAAATGCAAGCTTACGCACAAATCTAAAGTAAGCAGACAGCCGAAGAATGGGTACTGCAGTTGTCAAGGACAGAGCAACTATGACACACACGCAAACACAAGTGCATTAAAAATATAGAAAATTTCAAGTGAGCTTATGCGTCAGTCTTAACATGCCAACGACAATGGCAAGAACAACGGACAAACACAACAAATGTAGGTGTACAACAACAATTTTAGCTGCAATAGAGCCAAAGTAGCAGCAGCAATGCCATTTGTTACAATTTCCTTATTAGTTTAAGGAGTTAAGAGTGAGATTTCTCAGCCAAGCAAAATGGCATGCGTTTATGCATGTGTGTGTGCACACGCTCCATAGAACGTTTGCTTGTTAATATGCGCGTGTGTGTGTTCACGACACGTGAAACAATGCGCTATGATGCTATTGCTGCACATGCCACTTCCACTGCCACTCCAATAGCAACTGCTAGCCTTCTTGTTGCTGTTGTTACTCGTTTTGCTAATACTTTACTGCCGCTGCTCGTGCTCCGTATATGCACACTGGCAATTAATTTAGTCTAGTGAAGCATTTCGTGCAACTGAAATTAATTTCCAACATATTTTCTCATGTTGTTAAGAAAACGAGGCGAATTGTGCAGCAAGAAAACTTCGAGCAGCAGCAACAAGCGCAAATAAAGAATTTACAAAAATCTCATTTTATTTTATAAAATGTGTAGAGTGCCATTAACAACATGCGCAAGAATGTTTTGCTAATGCGTGTTTGTGTGTGTGTCGTGCAATTCCTTCACACAAATAGTTGCTGTTGGCAATCAAGTTGCAGCAGATTTAGTGTCACACATTTATTATGTATGCGCACTTATGCGCAGCGCCGTTATGTTTGTGTGTGTCTTCATTCCACTTTTGTGTGTTTTAATTATTAGATCTTTAGTTTGCTTAGCAATTTGAGTTTTACAAGTGGCTGCACGCAGCGTGGCAAGCAATTTAATATTTTATTTTATGTTTGAAGAGGTAAACGTTGTCGGATGCATTTAACTAAGTAGGTAAATGGCAACGAAATATATTTATGCCTTAGAGTAAAAATGAAAAACTAGTTAAATAACCACTTTAAGTTTTATGAAGATAACCTGTCAAATAAAAAAGTTTCCCATACAAGGACTTGATGTTGATCGGTCAGTTTGTGTGGCTATATGCTATGGTAGTCCGATCTAAACAATTTCTTTGGAGATTGCACTAATTCTCTAAACTATGTCAATGTCATCGTATATTTCATACAGCTCATCGTTCCATCGAATGCGTTATTCGGCACTGGCAATGCGCAAAGGATCATAAATCTTCCGCTGAACCTTTCTCTCGAAATCTCTTAACGCCGACTCATCTGCTGTTGTCATCGTCCATGCCTCTGCACCATATAACAGCACGGCGCTGATGAGAGACTTGTAGAGTTTGGTCTTTATTCGTCGAGAGAGAACTTAACGTCTCAATTGCCTACTCAACACCTGTTGACAAGCGCTACTCTGCGTTTGATTTCGAGGCGGACGTTGTTGTTGGTGCTAGTACTAGTTCCTAGATAGACGAAATTATCTATGACTTAGAAATTATAACTGTCATCATTGACGGAGTGTGGAGATGGTGTGATTCGTGGCTAACCGCAGGGTTTAATTTGTGCTCCATATATTTGGAACCTCATTATGGACTCTCCGCTTGGGCAGTTCGAGCCATGCACTAAGTGCTCTCCCTATTAGATTAGAGGAGCAAGGGGATTGCACCGCGACTTAGAGTTATTGTGCCCTTAATCGTCTACGTATGCGGACGACCTTCTTCTTTTGGTCGAAGACGTTGGCGGTCTTAGCTAGAGCGGGAGAACATCTCTTAGAGGTTATAAATATTTGGGGTTTAGATATGGTTATCGACAATCGGGAATGTGAAGCAAGTCAAATATCTGGGGATGACCATGAGTGAAAGAATGTGTTTCACTCCACACTTTCGAATTTGGAGAAGCGACTGCAGGCAGCTGTAGGCAACTGTTAGCGAAATACGACACATTTTCGCAAGTGATAGGGGTCGCGGACGTCGTGCTGTTCGCACCTTATATCGTGTCTTGTTTGTGGCCTGTGCCACTTATGGAGCCGCTGTGTAGTTGGGGTTACAAAAACTCTTTTCAATTCAGTGTTGTGTGATCCTTGCCTATATGTTGGAGTGCCGAACAGTTTGTGTCGTTTGCACGTGAATTATTTAGACGGCATAGGTGTTTAACTGCGAAATAGGCTTGGCTTCTTGTGTGATTGGTTTGTGGGTATGGGCCAACTCCTCGGCTACGAGGTCTGACCGGAGACGGGGAGCAGGAGCTCTCGTAGTTCGCTCCAACCTGCTCATGCGGACTGGCCTCTCGGGGAGTAACGCGGTGGTTGTGGTTAAAATCGAAATACGGGAAGAAGTAACGCTTTGTCAGTTGAATGAAAGTACGCAAAAGGATTTAGATGGGTCTCGAATCCTATCAAGGTGAATAGTGTGTCCATTCCACACTGGCAATTGGTACTGAAAATACTGGGCTGTCGTCAGCGGATACCCAAGTTAAGCACACTGGACGTTGTCATAAGTGACGTGGAAGACAAATGATACGATTGTTTGTTTGATGGCAGGAAATATTTCGTCTTGGCCTTTGTGTCTGTTAATACTAAGGGATTCAATGAATTTTATACGCAGAAAGCTCATACAAACTAAAACTAGTGATCTATCAAAGAAAGATCTCGAAAACATAAGATTTATATTTTTCTTTAAAAATATGTATGTATAATAAATAAAGTTGTTATTCAAAGAGACTGTGAAAAATATTAATCCTCAAGAAAATCATAAATTTCAAAGTAAACCACTAATAGCTTTACTGATTTAATTTTATTTTTACACATTTCAGAGCCTTCATCGACAATACGCATCTACAAGCATTGCACCTCACCAACAACCTACAACTATACGATATTCCCATGCGTCTGTTCCAAGGCAATCCCAACGTACTCGAAATCTATATGCAAGGCAATAGTCTGCAAACACTCTACTCCGCACAGTTCCCCGTCGACCAGCTCGAGCGTCTTTATCTTGGCGATAATCCACTGCAATGCAATTGCTCGCTGCTCTGGCTATGGCGTTTGGTTACCGGCAATTTCGATGGCGAGGCCAACAACGCAGCCGGTGTGCATGTTACACACAGTCAAGGGGAAGCGGCTGTAGCCGCGCTGGGCACGGCCGATGCCGATGTAGCGTCCGCAGCCGCAGAGGCTTATGTCGCACAACAAAGACCTACACGGGTAAGCAGCAGCAGTAGCGGCTCCAGCGGCTACCTACAACTCGATATAGAACGCATTGGTTGCGACATCTGGCAGGATAAGGTGCGCACGCGTCGTCGTCTCGTGACCATGTCAGAGGGCGATATCACTTGTCCCGCGCATATTGTCACCATTGTGTGTGCGATTTTTACGCTGCTACTCGTCTTCGCCATCGGCGCCAGCATCGTCTTTTACCTGCGCTTCGTGAAGCGTCGACGAAAGCTGCTACACGATCGTTCGCTAACACGTTCGGGCAAATCGATTATCAATGTACACGATCGTATACTGCAACATCAGCCACTGAGCACCGGCGGCGTACTGGGCATGAGCGTCGGCGGTCTCACCTATCCACATCACACGCTACAACAACAAGGTGGCACACATCATGCCATGTTGCCGCTACACCCGCATGAGTACCAGCAAACGCTGCCAGCGCAAGTGGATAAACTGGAATTGGAACGATATCTAGCGGCGCAGGCGATCGCCAATGAGTATCGTGCCTTGAAGCCGTGGGAGTTGCCGCCCGTGAAGGATGCGAATGCCTACAGCGATGAACCGGAACACTTGTATGAGAAATTCGACCACTACGACTATCCGGACATGCAAACGTTGAGCAAATCAAAGCAAGCGACTCTAATGTCCAACACTGACGGTTGCAACACCAATAACAGCGCTAATGGTGTGGTGCTGATGGGTAAGGGTGGCGCTGGCGCTGGTGGCACAGCGGCTAAGCCGCATGTGGTCTACGTATGACTCCCGGGTGGACAAGTCGGCGGCGGCGTCGACGCAGTGGGTAGTGCAAGCAAAGAGTGCGAGGGCGTGGAGGCCGAAGGCGAGCTGCGCTATTGCCTCAACAACAACTATAGTAGTTATATGAAATTAGTTTAGAACGTGGCAGTTGCCGTAGAAATGGTGTGGCAGGTTGGGAAGCGGAGGAGCAGCGGAGCCTGGCTAAAGAGGAGGCGCTGCAAGCGTAAGCGCAAAAATGTAATGGAGTTGCTACTAATGACACGAAATTAAATCAAATGCGATAGCTGTTACGTGTAAGCAGTAAGTCGAGTAAGATTGAGCATAATATGAAACAAAACAAAAAAAAAAACAATAAATGTATAAAAACACTAAAATCGTACGTTAGCAGCGATGAATCGAAACAAGGGTATATTTGTTAGCAACTAAGTTACAAACACAAGCATACATACATACATACACCAATAATAAGAACACCGCAAACGTTAGACATTATTATTCGTAACATCTCGTACTTCTACGAACACCTAATTTCCTGTTAACCTTAAGCGTTTAAGTATATAAAAAATATATATATTTGCATAAGCGTAGCAAGAAACAACATTAAATGAAACAAGGGATACGTATAGTGTTATATAATAGCTAAATTACAATAAGTAAATCACGAACAAAATACTAAAATTAGAAAACGTAAAAAACTTCGAGTACTATGCAGTTAAAAGTGTAATGCAACAACATTATAGAAACACAAAATAATATTGAAGAAATGTTAACATTTAATTGATATTCATAAAGTATACACAAATATTGTAAATGACAAGCGAAAAATTTGAGCGCAGCATATGTGAAGTGACATAACATAATTGAAATGAAAATTTAATATTTGATGAACCAATTATTTTATATCAATTTACATCACTCCTGTGACCAAAAAAATGTGGTTTACAGAGAGTAGATGAACATTTTTTTTTTTTTTTTTTTTGGTTTGCTTGTAATTTGAATTTTCCCATTCTATCACAACAATCGGTTATACATCGGTTAGTGCTTACCAATGCTACCAGTTAAATAACGAACCAATTATTTTATATCAATTTACATCACTCCTGTGACCAAAAAAATGTGGTTTACAGAGAGTAGATGAACATTTTTTTTTTTTTTTTGTTTGCTTGTAATTTGAATTTTCCCATTCTATCACAACAATCGGTTATAGATCGGTTAGTGCTTACCAATGCTACCAGTTAAATAACCAGTAATAACCATATTACTTTTATTTCCAATTGATTACTGAGTCTTGAAATTTTTTTCTGCCCTTATATATACCGGAACGTAGACTACCATAAAGGCGCTGTTGTGTATATAAATTTAATTTTCCCAATCCGCTGACAATTGGTTATACAGTTTAGTGTTAAAGCATTATTATCATTGGATAACCAGTAATTTATTACCTTTATTACCTTGCAACTTGCATTTTTCCACTTTGGCAACATAATCGGCTTTAATGCTTTAACGTTTTTACCAGTTAAGCAACCAGTACAATAACCATTAAAATATTCCTTTTCTTTCCAATGGAATGTTGGATCTTGAGATTTTTTTCTGCCCCTATGTATAGGCACCTGAGTGTAGACTAAAATCTCTTTTATGTATGCATGTAACTTGAATTTCTCACTACGCCAAAACAATCGGTTATAGATCGGTTAGTGCTTAACCAATACTACCAGTTAAATAACCTGTAAAATAACCAATAAAATATTACTTTTCAAGTCAAGTTGAATGCTGACCTTGCGATTCTGTCCCTATGTATATGCACCTGAGGTTAGACTAAAATCTCTCTAATGCATATAAATTGAATTTTTTAAATCTGCCAATACAATCGGTTATACATCGGTTAGTGCTTAACCAATACTACTAGTTAAATTACTAGTAAAATATTAATTTTCTTTCCAATTTAGTTTATATCGCTGTCTCTAGAGATATTTTGTGCTGCTAATGTATAGGTTACTCTCTTTGGTAGCTCGTATTAAATATAAATAGAACACAGTTGAGTCTAGGTTTCTACGCGTTAAAGAAAATACGCGTCCGTTTCATTATATGTTTCGCTTATTTTGATGATACTAAATCGTGAATGTACATATTTGGATTTGTAAACAGTGTTTACAGAAAGTTACTATTTTTACTGATCTCAGGCAAGTTAAAGAGCGTGGCGATAGAAAATGAGCGATAAAATCCACGTCTGAATCACTAACTCATTCATGGAAACCTAAAGCACAGTCAGCAAATGTTTAAAAAAAATTAAAATTTTAATTTTCTAGGTTCACATTTGCACTCCTGAAGAACCATTTTAGCAACTATGTACCATCTTTACAAGGCTCCAACACCGGTTTTAGCTATTCCTTATCAGCATTACTGAACTTACTAAACTATAACTAACTGTCTACATATCTTTTTACTGGCAATTTCCGGCACTGCCAATGTTCTGGACTTCATTCTAATGGCTTTTGAAAGAAAAAAGTTTACGTGAAAAAATATTTTAGAAAAAAACATTTTTTTGAAAAAAAAAGTTTGATTGAAAAAATAGATGTGTATAAGAGACAGACGCTTCTCTTGACGAGATAACGACGGCATCGAAGGAGGAGCTGAA